AGCGCAGGTGGGTAAGGAAGAAGATGAGGAAGAGTGCTGAGGACACTTACCTTGGGGGCTGGGGCAGTAGGCGAACTGGGGCCCATGAACCACCCTTCCTCCTCGCACCGGGCAGCGGGGAAGGGCTGGGCTCTCCCTCCGGTAGGGCAGCATCACTCCTGCTGAGGCTGAGCAGAGGCGGCCATGCATCACCATGGCTGTACCGATCCCTACCAGCCTCCCACATCCCTGTGGTGCTGGCACCACTGAGGAGATCCATCCCATCACCTGATGCTTCCCTGGGCCACTGGCCATCATCCAGCAAGCTCCCAAAAGGGGAGGCAGGGGACATAGGGAGGGGACCCCTCCTGCCCAGAGTCCTGTTTACCTGGGGCTGTCCAGGCACTCAGGGCAGTGCCATGTCCACATGCCACATCCACAAGTTCCTCCAGCGAAGTGGCCCACAGGGCACCGCGGTGCCTTTATACACACACCAAGAGCAAAGTCTAAGGAGCCCTGTGTTGCCCCTCGCCTCCGCTCTCTGCTCACCTCCTCCCCAGAAATTCCTGCAGTTAATGGGTAACCCCACAGCATCCCGCGTCAGCTGTGGCCCTGGGGCAGGATGGGGCACGCGCCCCCAGGGTACCGCACCACCAGCACACCCCACCTCGCCTGCCCGAGGCTCAGCATCGCCCCTGTGAGCAGCAGCTTGTGCGACGGGGAGAGAAGCCAGTGTGCTGCTGGAACAGTGCCTGAGGAGAGATTCCAGAGTAGACTCAACTCTTCATCACTTGGTGCTGGGAGCTTTATCCTCTGCATGAGAGGAGGAGGAAGGCTTGGTGCTGGTACTGCCGAGGTGTCTCAAATTGGAGGTGAGGCCACGCACACATCCACCATCCTTCAAGCATCAGCCACAACGGACCCGGCTTTGTCCAGGGCCTCGTCATCAGGATGTTGGTGGTGAGTTACGTCAGCACCGGCACAGTCCCCATGTCCTGTCGCTGGTGGTGACGGTGGCATGCAGCCCAGCTCAGCCCATGGCAGCTGCTCAGTGTGGAACAGCCAACAGCACTGCGAGAGCTGCGTGGGGCAGAGCCCGCATCTTCCCAGCACACGCGATGCCAAGGTGGGCAGGAGCAGAGCGACGCCAGCGCTGCCGTCACCACCGCCTCGATGTCATTTATCATTACCCGCTGTTTACCCACCTCTGGCCAAATTTCCATCCACTCACAGGGCACTCAGCCAGCTCGCACCCAGGTCTGTCCTGGGGAGAGCCAGGAGCCAAAGGCCCCTCCAGCCCCAGTGGAGAGTGGGGGCAAAGGGACCGTGTGGCTGCCACAACCCAGTTCCTCCAGGACCAGGCTCTCCCAGGACCCATCACCATGGACAAGCCAGCTGTGGTTGTAGGAGGGGAGATCTCTTGGATACCCCAGGGTGCTTAGGGGCAGCCTGGGGACATCCTTGTCACAGCTGCAGCATCACCAAGATTCCACAGTCACAAACTGGCGGAGCTGAATGCCTTGAGGTGCCACAGCAGGGGACATGTCTTGCCTCTGCAGGGCTTGGGAGTGCAGCCAGGGGCACCCACAGAGCCCTGTGCCAGGCTGTGGTGGGCAGAAGGCTGGTGTCCACACTTGCCCCGTGCCCGGGGGCTCTAGGCCAGCTGCCCCCACAATCATTAACCCACTGAGGCCCTGGCAGTTCCAGCTGTCATTCATTGACAGGGTCAGGGCTGAAGTCCTTGGCCACGCCGGCCCAACAGCTTCCCCTTCACCATCAGCAGTGCCGGGAAAACAAGTTCCTGGCACTGCCCCTTGCTGCCAGGCAGGGTGGCACCAGAGCCAAGGGCTGACTCCAGCCCTGTCCTGGCCCCAGGCAGAGGCCCACAGGATATGGGGGTGCCGGGGGGAACATCACAGCCGGGAAAAGCCCTGTCCAGCCTCAGTGGCAAAGGAAGGAGAGGGACGCGCATCCAGGCAATGCTCTTTATTTCCCCCAGTTTCACACCACAGACGGGACTGAGCAGCACCACAGAGACACAGGCGAGCTCTGATGGAGGCCGTGGGGCCACAACTGGCCACAGCGGTGTGG